GGTGGCGGTGGTGTTGATGGCTATGGCGCTGATGGCGACCAATGGGATGACAGCGACTCGTGGGACAGTCTGTCGGATGAACTGTTGGATCAGTTGGTGAACGAGTCGTCTTCATCATCACCGCCGCCGCAGACATCCACAGGTCGTCGGCGACTCATATCAGATGCGAATGGAGTAAACGGTGGCACCAGTTGTGATAATCGCCAGACATTCCCCAAACGGCTCAAGACGTCGATGTCAACGAGTGTTGGCGTCGACAGCAGTGGTAATGAATGGTCTGAAGACTCGTTTGACTTCTACTACAAGAATAAGAGGATTGAGACGAATGTGACGGATGTGGTGAACAGACTGATGGCCGGCACCAGTGTTTCCGGAGGTAACGCGAGGCAAACGCAGACTCAGGTGACAGTCAGCTCACCCGCGAAGAGGGTTACCATTAGTTCCAGCTTTCGGTGAAGACTTTTGGATCGATTTTTTGTATATTTTTGTGTGTTTTCTGTGGTTTTTATTTTTTTCGGTTTTTAATGTTTAATTAGTTGTGAATTTTGTTTGTATTTATTTTTAAGACATTATAATATCGTTAGACACCAATGAGTGGTAATGTAAGACATTATCATATTTTGTAAAACATTAATATTTTTGTCAATATTTATAACATTTTAAAATTAATATAAAACTAAACTTTTAATAACTTAAACAAGACTTTGTATTAAAATAATAAATAACTGTTTATTTAATTTCGCTACGAATTGATTGGTTTAGAAATTTAGGTTTTTTTTGTTTAATTAGTGTTTAAATAATTATTGACTTTATGCGAGATAACGGTGCGCACCGGGAGTTTATATTAGTGAACGCAATGCAAAGTTATCTTTAATTTTTAGTGTTTGACATTTAAACCGATAATGAACTGTATTTTTATAACATAGAGGTCTCTCAACATTGGTCTCAATCAAAGCATACGCTAACTACAGTCTATACTCGATAAAATAGACTATCATTAAATAAATTGCATAATAATTATAACATGCTCATTACAAGTAGATTTTAGTGAATTAAAATAATTTATTAATTGTATATCAAAAAAACAGAATAAAACTTTTTATTCTGTATAGAAAACTACACTAAAATTAAACTGGTTTATAAAGCTGAACACATATTGTACGCAAACTGAATGTGTATTGTATTATCAATAAGTGCACGTAATTTACGCTCATTTTGTGGGAGTATTTCTGTATCGCATAGTAAACGCCATTTAAAACAGTGATTCACTTTGTATTGCATTTCTGTGAATGAATTGTAAACACAATTCAATCCATTAGTAAATCAAATAATAGTCGCCCGAAAACCCATACACACGATGTCTGTATTAGTCTACGGCCAGGGCGTGCTCTACACGGTGACCCTGTTCATCGTGCTATGCATAGCCCTATTCTATATGCTAACGGGTAGGGGCCGTAGGGCTGGCGATATCGCGTGGCTTCTCGAGGGTATGTCGGCTACCGTAGTGGTGGCCAATCACACATTCATTCATAAAACCTATGGTCACATGACTAACACGTGCCCTCTCTCTGTCTGTCTGTCTGTCACTATTAACAGGTATATCGCCGTACATGTGGTGCGCGATGGGCATCGGACTGTCCATATCGTTGTCAGTGGTGGGCGCCGCTGTCGGCATCTTCACGACGGGGGTGTCTATAGTGGGCGGCGGTGTGAAGGCGCCCCGCATTCGCACCAAGAACTTGGTGTCCATCATATTCTGCGAGGCGGTCGCCATTTACGGCATCATT